GTGAATTGTGCGCACCTAAGCCAATTTGCTTGTAATTTGCGAATTATTAAAGATTAAGTTATGAAATTAAGTATGAGCATAGCCATATATATTCTTTACAACATACCTAATATACAGCAAATTATTGTTAAACAATCCATAGTTATTATTTAAAATGTACAAGATTGCGTTGCGCATGAATATCAGACTTAGATTGGTAATGGTGCGCAAGCTTCTGTTAATGGTGCGCGTACATTTGATTACCATTCTTATAACCTAACAAAGAAATGATTTGTTTCTAATCTTTGAAAAATGTTTATTAACACTCAAAATAAAATTATGAAGTATTACAACATTATGAAAAATTATATATAAAAAAAAACTACATATTCAAAAACAGAACAACAAAACAGAAAAATCACTTGTCACAAAAGTCACAAACATACCCCTCTGCAGTATCCCATCCACTGCAAAGAGCATGTGCCCACTTTGTACAGATCTGGCACTGGAACCAATGTTCTGTTTTTTTACTCCCATCTCCACAGACTAGGCAAATGTCTTCATCGTCTTCATTTCTTTCACCTTCGATTTCTTCCAATTCTTCTGTTTCTAACTCATTTTCTTCATACAACTTTTTTCTCACATTTTTGTTTTTTTCTTTGGACTCCAACTTCTTCCGTTTAATATCTCTTCTCATTTCTGTTTCTAAGAGTCTTTCTTTCATTGGTGTTGTTGTTAAAATTTCTGAACTCTGTTTTTTTCTGTTGTACCTGCGTTGTGACTTTATTGATGGTGTTGGAATAGGCGAGAGCGTTTCTACAGATGTGCTGGCCTTAAGAGTAACAGATTTGAAGCAACTGGACTCCACTGTTACTGATGTTGAAACAGGAGAAAGAGTTTCTCTAGACGTACTGGCCATAGGAGTTAGAGGTTCCAAGCAACTGGTTTCTAATGTTTCTGGTTCTGAAATGACAACTGGTTTATGATAATTTGCAGGAGCAAAGTCATTTTCGGTAAATCTGTCTGGATTAAAGGGCCATATTCCTGCACTTCTAAAGCCATTTTCAGCTTTGTCCATGGTAGCTACATGACTATAAGCTGCATGGAAAAGTTCGGCTTTGTCATTAGCCGTTACTTTCTCAAAATGTAATAAATGGTGCTCACACTGTCGATTAAATGAGGCCTTCAATGGCCCAAAAAAAGTTAAATCCAGTGGCTGCAACTTGTGTGACGTGTGGGGAGGTATGGTTAAAAGTACAATATGATTTTCCCGACAAAAATTATATATAGTAACTGATATATGACTTGTGTGGTTATCTAGTATTATTAAAGCCGGGTCATCCTCTGACGGATTTACCACACTCCTAAAATGATGTAGCCACTCATAAAATATTTCCTCATTACTCCATCCACTTTTGGAGCATTTATAAACAGCACTAGGAGGTCCATTTTTTTGTAAAGAAGCACACATTCTTAAACGAGGAAAAACGAACAGTGGTGGTATGTAACAAGTACCCGTTGCATTGTAACAACATATGACCGTTATATTTTTTCCTCTTTCTCCCGAAGTCTTGGCGCCAAACTGCTTAACACCTTTTGGTCCTAATCGTTTATGTGGCTTATGAACGGTGGTTATGCCCGTTTCGTCAACGTTAAATATTTTCTCTGATCTAAATTTGTGTTTTTGATAAATGGTTCTTAAATTTTCAAAAAATATTTTCAATTCTTTGTCATTAAAGCTACATATGCGGTTAATACTAGTTGGCTCTGGTTTACGTAAAGACAATTGAGGATTTCGTCTTAAAAAGCTGTAGTACCAATCTTTGCCAGCCATTTTTCTGTCTTTATTAAAACTATGTTTAATGTTATTGGCTTCAGCAAATGAAAATGCTAATTTACGTAATTGAACACAGCTTAAACCATAAAATAATCTACCTAATTTTAAAACATGTTTTCTCAACTCCTCTTCTTCATTTTGAGAAAAAACAGGACACCTTCCTAAACGGGGGTCTTTTATATCAAGCCCTTCATTTAAAGCTTTTAATGCTTTGCGTATTGATGATTCTGGTATTCCAAATTTTCGACCAGCCCCTCTAATACTGTTTCCATTCCGTACAAATCGAACAGCATCTTTCATTAAATCAGCACACCACCCCGCCTTGTTGGTTTTACGAATATACTTGGACATCTAAAATTGCTAAACACTAAAGTTAAATTCTAAAACAAGGTGTCGGCAAAATGTGCGCACTGCGCACTATTTGCCGATAAATTTCTTTTGAAATTAAAAATTTATAACAATGAACCAATAATTAACTCAACACTATGAATATTTAAAATGGGTAGTATAAAAAACTAGCTGTCGATTGAGATAAAAATTATTAAAATAAGTCGTAAAATAGAGTACTTACAGCTTATTTTCAACCCTTCCACAATTACTTCGAAAACCCGGGAATCGCTAATAGTACCATATTGAATGTGGATATGTCAGAAAACGACTAAAAACTGTTTTGGCAGTTACAAGTGGTTCTAATAGATGGCACTATGTACTTATTTTAAAATTTAAATTATTTGATTTGCAATTAGAGGGGTGCGCACCATTGCCAGACGCGCACGATTCGCCGACTTCCCCCTACCCTTTTTTAAGCGTTTTTGAAAAGAGTAATGTTTCCTTAGTACAGTAACGTGAAATTTATTTCATTTAATTACACCAGGTGAATGAGTTTCTAAATTCAATCAATCAAATATTGAAAATGATTTCCTTCAACTTCTAAGTGTAACTGCGTTCTGTTTAAAACTCTTTAAATAATGGTTCTCAAAAGAACAATTTCATTTGAATATCGGCATTCTACAATAGTTTTTTTCCATAGCTCATGAAATTGCAGATTTAATTATTTAATTTATTTTCTGTGGCTTGTAAAATCTTCAGTGTCAACATTCAATAATTAAGCACAACTATTTGAGGGGTTATAAATAAAACGCAATTGTGTTCAAAATCTTAGAGTGCCTTGTTAACATCTAGTTAATTAAGATTTATGATAAATTTCTGGTAAATCTCATATCTCAGTTGCAATTTGGAAATTAAAATAATATTAGTTTCTATTTTATTCATTTTTTGATTTCTTGTGATTTCTTCAAATACACAAGAAAATATTAAAGTGAATACATTTTTGTAAAGAGAAGGAAATCAAATATATTTAGAAAAATAAAATTGATTGTCACTTTTGAGAAAACTTTTTATAATCTCATTTGGTGTACAAGTCGTACTTTGTGACACTAGAGATACCTAAATAGATATTCATTTTGTTACTGGGATTGGACTATTACAGCATTACGAGTGTGAAGATTGCAGTTAACGAGGTCGTAATCATACAAGTTACTCCAGTATCTGCACAAAACAAAAAAATCCAATTATTTTGCTCGCTTCAATATCAAGAATCAATTAAATTTTTCCACTGTTACAGCAATTGCTACTTAAAACTGCTTGTAAAGGTGAGGGAAATTAAAAAAGTCATACGCTGATAAAGAAGAACACAAGCAAAAGATGAAAAGAAGCTTCAAACACAGAGAAAGAAAAGCATATGTTTAGATCTGCAGAGAAATGCACTGGAACCCACGCCACAGCAACCGAGCAGATTGGATGAAACAACGAGGACTATAGCATCAATTTCCAAAAAAACTGTGGTAGGTATTTCTCCCACTTAAAAAAGTCCATCGACTTATTTTTGAAAAATTGCAGAAGCGCACACCGATTAAATTTGTTTTATAGTGCTATGAGAAATTATGACTATTTTTAATTAAATATTTGATTATTTTCTTTCGATTATGCAGAAAAAAAAATGTCATTGTATATATTTATGACCTACTGTTTGCTTTGATAACACCGATTATGACAAACAATGACAACAATACTAATTATATTTTTAAAAATGCACAGCAAAAAAACAATCTTGCAACAACGATCTTAATCAGTACAGAACTTGTTTGCGAAGAAAGTGTTTTAACCCATTAATATGTATATGCACATACTTTTAAAGCTAGTTATAACCGTTATTATACCCCCGTTGCTGTTATTTTGTTTTAGGTGGGCATACACCTTTTTCAGAAGATATCTTTTTTTACAGAAATTACCCGGACCTCCCGAAACTGGAAAACTCATTGGAAATTTATCTTTTGTCAACGGAGATCAGGGTATGTTTTCTCAGAAAAACTCCTATAGGATCCGAGCGGTCGAATAGCCAAGATTACGAATTGTTGTAAATTACTGAAAAAATTCTTGCAGGTAGTCTGATGCAACTCACTTTAGGGCTATAATTGAAGTTCTTGTCAAATATAAAATGCATTATTTAACGACGGAGGTAGAAGTTTGATTATGTGTGCAATTTCACAGTTTTTTATATTTTTCAAGTGGGACATTCTGTATTCAATAATACTGTCGAACTTAGCTCTACGTAAATTTTTCTTTTCATTGCAAATTTTTAAGGTTATCCTCATAGTATTTTTTGAATTATTGCTAGTATAAACCCTAGCAAGTCGGGTATTAAGAGTCAATAAGTTCAAAAGTCTTTCAAAATCAGGTGTCCCATTTAAAAAGAACATTGCAAATTTAATCACACATATTACGTAATAATACAGTGACTAAATAATAGTTTTGAACAAAAGATCAACATTTGGTTTTTTTCATAAAAATGCTAATATCTAAATTTGTACTCGTACAAATATTCAGGATTTAATAAACCGCAACTTTGGTGAATAACATTTAAATGGAACATTTTATATTTCAAAGCACTTGTAATTTGTAACTCGTCATTAAACTATTGCAACCGGGACACCTGTTATACTTTCTAGTGACGAATTCCGACGCTTCAGAGAAGCTGCACAAAACTACTACCCAGTTTATAACTTATATGCGATCTTCAGAGGATCGGCCAATATTTTAACTCCTGAAGACAGCGAGGTGATTTGAGTTTGATAATTTAAAATATATATGTATATATACGTCAATAATAACTTTTGGCCTCGCGCCAGATTTAGGCAACAAGTAATGGGAGAATATGAAAACCACATCCTAGCCTCAAACCTGTCATATCAGTGTTCAAATTTGTATTTATGGTTGCATCATTTACAACAAGCGAATGCTTGACACGTTTTAAAGTAGGTAAATATTTGGAGTTATAGTTTAAACTGTTTTCGAGTAAAAGAAAGAAAAAGTGGTATGAATCAGTTTATTCAGAAATAATTTTTTGGAATTAAAACAGCCACATAGAGGCTGAAGAAATTAAGATAATCAAAGAGAAAAGAAAACAACTTAAAACTAGGAAAGCTTACTTCGTAGTAAGTGCAATTATATTCTATGAACATTTAATACTACTATAAAACACCAAAGTAGATTATTCATATTTCTTATGAAGTTAGAGATTGCAATTATTAACAAAGTTGACAACGTATGGATAAAGTTAAATATATATCTTTTAGTCAAAAGAGGTGTCTGCATAATTTGTTACAGTGTGTTTGCAGGTATATTTGTACAATGCAGCAGCTGCTGCATTCACTATCCAAATGTAATGTATAAATAATGATTTGTCTGGTGTATGGTGCAGTCTTAAAATTAGGTATTTTTACTATATTTCAATTGGATAAATATTTTTACACATATTTGTAAATTCTCGTGCTTTGCCAGTTTTAGACGTTGGAATTTTAATTATTAGCGTATCGTTTTTGTCTTGAATGCCGTCATTATTTTTCAATTTATCCATTCCACATGCTCCTACAACTTCTAATAAAAAATAAACCTAAAACATAATGATTTATAGACAATGTGATTGACCTTGTTTGAGATCACCTTTAACATCGGGTACATTTAATCACGGGCTTCTGTTAAAAATTTTGGTAAGTCTTCTCTTGTAAATATATTTGATTTCTTGGCAATGTAACCTATATTTTTTGCTTGAAAACTTGGTGTACTTAGATATATCTATGCTGTTTTTTATTAACAGAGTTGACTTTAACTACGACTATGCAGCCCAAAGTGTTAAAGATTTCACAGAATTTGCTTTTTCAGCGAAATACTCGTATGCAATGAGGTGTTCTCCATATATTTTGCATGGTTGTTTCTGCGCAAAAAAAAAAATTCATACCGCTTTTCATAAACTGTGGCTGAGTTTTTAGGTAATAAATTTGATATATTATCTGCCAGTTTTTGCAAGTTCGGTCGAATGCATGTAAACTGCTTGTTATTATTGCTATCCATCTCTATTTTACAATTGCTACAGATCTTTCTGCAAGCAAAAATATTAAAAGTGCCGAAAAATAAGAGGTATGCTTCATACTTTCATTTAAAATGGGCATGTAAGCTAATAATCTGTTCTGTAATAATAATAAAAGCTTATTATAGGTTATGTAGATACAAGAAAATTGTTCAAATTCTTCCATTCCGCATACTCCTACAACTTCGAATAAAAAATATACCTAAAACATTATGTTTTATAGACAATGTGATTGACCTTCTTTGAGATTACCTTTGACATTAGGTACATTAATCACGGGCCTCTGTTAAAAATTTTCGTAAGTTTTCTCTTGTAAATATATTTGATTTCTGGGAAACATAACCTATATTTTTTGCTTGAGAACTTGGTGTACTTAGATTATATCTATGCTGTTTTATATTAACAGAGTTGACTTTAACAACGACTATCTAGCCCAAAATGTTGATTTCACAGAATTTTCTTTTTCAGCGAAATACTCGTATGCAAAATGAGATATTCTCCATATAATGTTTTCCATGGTTGTTTCTGCACCGAACAAAAACTTATTACAGGTTATGTGGATACACATTGTTCGCTGCCATAGAATGTCGCTGCACTTCAAGAAATCCGCTGTTGCCATGCATGGTTGCGACGTTGCGAGATTACGCGCAAATTTAGTTAATAAATTATATTTATAAAATTAATAAACCGGATGTGTTTCTAATAACTAATAAAAAGGGTTAACAAAGAGCATAGAATTACTGCTAAACCGAAAAACAATTTATAACCTTGTAAAATGTAATTGTGGAGGTAGATAATACTAATATGACAACACCGCATTTAATTTCTGTGCCGATTTTTGAACATAGAAAAAGCACATTACTGCGCGATTTCGAAAAAAGAAACATTACTATTTTTTAGCAGCTTTTAACCTCTCTTTTTATATTTCTCCAAGAAAGGCGTACATGTCAATTTTAAAATACCAGTTTAAGTTGGAGTAAGAAATTTACTTTTATGGTTGTGTGTACAGGCACTTCTACAATTAGCAGTACAAGTTTTTGTTAATCTCTTAAATTATTTTTCTACTTATGGAGCCAATCTGGATATTTGCTTAAGGGTGTGCTTTAAATTTTAGGAATTAATATCTTGGAACGTCATGCATCGTTTCCATACATTTTTGAGCTTCTGTTTTATTTTCTAATCACTTGGAATTTCATTTCCAAAAACAAAAATTGTACTTGAAATGATAGATATGAAGCTCATTATTCCGAAACATGTAATTATAAGATCAAATGTTACTATGCATGAAATGTATTATTTGATATAAAGTAACTTTTGATATCGCATTCTTTAGATTTTTTTCATGGGTACTTTACAGTTAATAGTATCACCATGAAATTGTCTCTTAGATTTGTTTTTCTTTCTTCCGGTATTTGAATCACAATTTGATAATCTTAAAACAACGACAATTAATTTAACTTTAGCTTGAGTTGTGAACCTGAAAGTTGTTTTGTATGAATTTGTGTGACAAAAGTGTACTAAAGATGAAAATAATTACTTATACTCTTTTATAATCATTAATTACATTTGTAGCAATTTTTGGCCTCTCGTATTTTATATTATTTTATCCAAGAAACAAGCGAAATTTGAAAAACCAGTTTAATATTTTAATGGAGCAGTAATTATGAACCCAAATGTTGCTATGGATAAAAACTATTATTTGACTTAAATTAACTTTTGGAATCACAGTCTTTGGATTTTTTTCGTAGATACTCCACAGTAAACAAAATAATTATAAATCTGTCCCCTTGATTTATTAATTTCTCAATCCGCCGATATTTGAAAGACGATTTGGTATTCTTAAAACAAGGGTTACTAATTTAATGTTTCCTTGGACTGTGAGCCTGAAAGTTGTTTTGTATGAATCCATATGGGGTCAAAGTGTACTAAAGATGAAAAGAATGACTTCGTTTATAGCAACTTTTGGCCTCTCGTGTTTAATATTTCTCCAAGAATGTTTTTAATTTTGTAAGATATTGGGCCAATAAAACATACACCGACAACATTATTTGCAATTCTTCCAACCACCTATGAATTCATAAAATATCAACTTTTGCATCTTTAATTGAAATATTGTTCAATTCTAATCTAAACCATGAAAACTATATTAAAGAACTTCAGTCCATAAAACAAATTGCAATAAATAATGACTTTAAACTAAAATTAATCCACAATCTAATTGACAAAATAAGATACAAAATTAAAAAAAAAACAATGTTGCTCGTTGTTCAAAACGGACCATGATACTAAGGAAGACATAGGTAGATATTATTTTCTGGATTTTATTGAAACATTATCTTACAAAATTAAAAACATACTAAATAGAGTGAATAAAAATGTTAATATTTCATTTAGAAAAATTAATTCAACCAGAAATCAGTTACTGAACAACAAAGATAAAATTACTTAACTAGATAAAGCCGGAGTCTATCAATTACAATTTGAATGTTGAGATTGTGCCTTAAATTTTACGAATCCATATCGTGAAATAATACACCTCATGAATTTCACTGGCTTGTGTTGAAATTTCGGGTTTCCAATTTTAAATTTATTAATCTAGTACTTCGTTCCAAAAACAAAATTGTGCCCGGAATGATGGGTTAATTACCTGTTTTCACATATACGAAGCGCACGAGTCCGAAAGTTACCTAACATGCAATTATGAGGCTAAATGTTGCTATGGATGAAAACTATTATTTGAATTAAAGTAACTTTTGGCATCACAGTCTTTAGATCTTTTTTCATAGGTATTTTACACTTAACAACATCATTATGAATTTATTTCTTAGATTTATTTCTCAATCCACCAATATTTGTCTTAACCTCATAGAAAATGTTTCGTCTTATGGAAAAAATCTGAATCTTTACACTTGGGGGTGTGCCTGAATATATAGCACCGAATATTGCCTCACATGAATTTTACTGCCTCGATTTGACCAAATTTTGGGTTTCCGATTTTAGATTTAATCATGTACCTAGTACTTTAAAATATGTTAGCACATGAGTCCGAAATTATGAGGCCAAAAGTTTCTATGGATGAAAGCCATTATTTGATTTAAAGTAACTTTTGGCATCACATTCTTTAGATTTTTTTAATAGTTACTTCACAATTAATAACATAATTATGACTTTTTCTTTTAGGTTTATTTCTCTTATCTGTTATTAAAATAACTGCTATTAAGTTAATTTTAGCCTGGGTTGTAAGTTTGAAAGTTGTTTTCTACGATTCTGTGAGGCCAAAGTCTACAAAAGATGAAAATAATTTTAGGCCAGATAGTTCAACACTCAGCCAATTATTTATTTTTATTTATACTATTTTCGTGTGGTATAGCAAGAATAATGGTCAAAAATCAAGTATTTTAGGATCAAAAAACGGCACATCATTTTCCAGATAATATTAACACTAATAAGTCTAAAAATCTAACCAAATATTGACTTTTTTAAAGTGTTATAAGTTTACTGACGAGGTGGCTAAGAAAGGGGATGAACCCTGAAACTGGTATCACCAAAATAGTATAAATAAAAATAAATAATTGGTTGTTTGCAGAACTACCTAACCCAACTTTATACCCACGCTAATATGGAAACACACATATCAAAATAGTTAGCTCATTTATAGCAACTTTCGAACTCTGGTATTTTATATTTGGCTAAGTAGCAAGTACTTAAAAAATTTTAATTATCACTTTAACTTTGAATAAAAAATATTTTTATGAATGCGTCTACAGATACTTCTACCATTCACAGTCGTAATTTTGTCTTAACCTTATAGAAAATGTTTCGTTTTATGGAAAAAATCTGAATCTTTACACTTGGGGGGTGTGCCTGAATATATAGCACCGAATATTGATTCACATGAATTTTACTGCCTCGATTTGACCAAATTTTGGGTTTCCGATTTTAGATTTATTCATGTACCTTGTACTTTAATGTATGTTAGCACATGAGTCCGAAAGTTATTCATGTAATTATGAGGCCAAAAGTTTCTATGGATGAAAGCCATTATTTGATTTAAAGTAACTTTTGGCATCACAATCTTTAGATTTTTTTAATAGTTACTTCACAATTAATAACACAATTATGACTTTTTCTTGTAGGTTTATTTCTCTTATTTGTTATTAAAATAACTGCTGTTAAGTTAATTTTAGCTTGGGTTGTAAATTTGAAAGTTGTTTTCTACGATTCTGTGAGGCCAAAGTCTACAAAAGATGAAAATAATTTTAGGTTAGATAGTTCACCACTCTGCCAATTATTTATTTTTATATATACTATTTTCGTGTGGTATAGCAAGAATAATGGTCAAAAATCAAGTATTTTAGGATCAAAAAACGGCAGATCAAATTCCTGATAATATTAACACTAATAAGTCTAAAAATTTAACAAAATATTGACTTTTTTAAAGTGTTATAGGTTTACTGACGAGGTGGCTGAGGAAGGGGATGAACCCTGAAACTGGTATCACCAAAATAGTATAAATAAAAATAAATGATTGGTTGATTGCAGAACTACCTAACCCAACTTTATACCCACGCTAATATGGAAACAAACATATCAAAATAATTAGCTCATTTATAGCAACTTTCGAACTCTCGTATTTTATATTTGTCTAAGTAGCAAAGTACTTAAAAAATTTAAATTATCACTTTAACTTTGAATAAAAAATATTTTTATGAATGCGTCTACAGATACTTCTACCATCCACAGTCTAATTTTGTTTTAACTTCATACAAAATGTTTCGTATTATGGAAATAATCTGAATCTTTACACTTGGGGGTGTGCCTGAATATATAGCACCGAATATTGATTCACATGAATTTTTCTGCCTCGATTTGACCAAATTTTGGGTTTCCGATTTTAGATTTATTCATGTACCTTATACTTAAATGTATGTTAGCACATGAGTCCGAAAGTCATTCGTCATGTAATTATGAGGCCAAAAGTTTCTATGGATGAAAGCCATTATTTGATTTAAAGTAACTTTTGGCATCACAATCTTTAGATTTTTTTAATAGTTCTTCATAATTAATAACACAATTATGACTTTTTCTTGTAGGTTTATTTCTCTTATTTGTTATTAAAATAACTGCTATTAAGTTAATTTTAGCTTGGGTTGTAAGTTTGAAAGTTGTTTTCTACGATTCTGTGAGGCCGAATTGTACAAAAGATGAAAATAATTTTAGGCTAGATAGTTCACCACTCTGCCAATTATTAATTTTTATTTATACTATTTTGGTGTGGTATAGCAATAATAATGGTCAACAATCAAGGATTTTACAATTTACTTCCTTACAGCCTTACTCCGCTCTTTTCCACTCCTTTCATCCACCCAGCTTCTCTTCCATCTTCATTCAATATTTCTGTTATACTTTCCTTTTTTCTTTAATTTCGCCCTAGTCTTGTAGCATGTATTCTAAATTCTCTTGCACTTCTCCACACATCCTATATATTCTTCTGCTTTCGCTTAAGCAAAAGTTATTGTTTCTTTCTTCATGTCCACCCCT